TTTTTTTTTGGCAGAACTGGGGATTGAACTCCGACCCTTGTGCTTGCCAGGGAAGCGCTTATTCCACTGAGCCATCTCCCCGGCCTTCCCTTTTTTTTTTTTTTGGTTGTTTAGATCTTTACTTTTACTATTTCTTTTCTGTTCATCTTTTTGGCTTTTTTCAACTTTATTTCCTGATTTTCTGATATTTGCATGTGAATGAGCATTGTCTCCAGTTTTTTGAGTTTGCTTTGATATTATTTCCCCTTTTCCTTTATTCTTTCTCTTCTGTCCTCTTCTCCAGTTTTGCAAAGCTTGAGTGATCATCCTTTGTCCTTCAGTCTTGCTTCTACTATGTTTCTCTTCAGTTTTCTATTTTTTGTCTTATCTCTCTTAAATTCTCCCCACAGGGGAAAATCACTCTATCAAGGGAAAGCTCACTGCATACAAGTTCCTGGTTTATGTTGGATTTTTTTATATAACTGTAGATCTTGTTCCTATGGCTAAAGGTACCAAATTAATAGTTCCCACAGTTTGTCAATTTCTAGGCTGTGCCTGATGCTATTGTTACTGCTAATTGTACTGCTTTAGCCAGGGTGTCCTACCTGTTACAGTCAGTTGTTCTCTCTGTATGACAACACTGTGATTGTCTAGACTTAGAATCGTCACCATAGTGACTTTTTGTCCCTAGTAACTTGGGAAGGCAGCATCTGAGGATGAACATGAAGGCCACGAGCCAGCTGTATCTAGAAGACCTTGCTGCTGAATAAGCATTTCCTAAGGAAGTCTTGACATTTGTGATGAAGCTGCCTGCATGAGAAACTTATAGGCATCAACACACAAAGCACATTAAAATAAAAAAAATTAGAAAATGACAAGATGCAGAAGCAAAATGCAACCCAGACCTCCAGTGCACCCCAGCAAACCCAGTGAACAATGAGAGGAGATCAGAAGCCACCCAGCTGAGTTTTCTGAAATGTTAGCAGCAGAAAACAGACAAACCAGATAAATGAGGTTATAGAAGAAATAAGATCAGAAATAATCTCTCCAGTTAAAAAAAGATGATGATCATAATGAAGGACTTACTCAGTGATATAGAGTAGGTTGATATATAAGAAATGAAGGAAAGGGCTGGCCAAGTAGCTCAGCAGATTAAAGCACGTGCAAGCAGGTGCAGGGGCTGGGGGTTCCATCCAAGGCATATAATAAAATAAAGGGCCAGGGAGATAGCTCAGTAGAATAAGCACCTGCCTGGCAAGTGCAGGGTCCTGAGTTCAATCCCTGGTACAAAAAAAAAAAAAAATCAATTCCAGAAATTCAGCATAAGAACAGAATATTAAAAGCTGTAAGAGAAAAGAAACAAATCACCTATAAAACAAACAAAAACCCTAAAATGAAGGAAAACTATGAGAATCACCACAGACTGCATGACAAAAACTCTTTAAGGTGAGCTTGGAGTTAGGTATATTTCACTTCCTGAAAAGAAACAACTTCCAAACCGGATTGATTGACTCTGCAAAATCTTTCAGAATCAATGGAGAAATAAGATACCTCTCTGATAAGGAACAGCTGAACAAATTCATGACCACAAAACCAGCACTACAAAATGCTCTGATGGATATTTTGATTTTTTTTGGTGGAACTGGGGCTTGAACTCAGGCCCTTGCGCTTGCCAGGGACGCACTTATTCCACTGAGCCATCTCCCTGGCCTTTCTGATAGATATTTTGAAAAGCAGTAATGAACATACAGTACTAAGAACACCAATAGAAAGAGTACACTGGCCAAAAATACTAAAGGGAACTAACAACAGGATAATTCAATACATATCAGTTATAACCATCAGTGTTAATGGTCTCGATTCACCAGTCAGAAGAAACAGATGGCAGAATGGATCAACAAACAAGATCCAACGATGCACTGCATACAAGAAACATTTAATTCAGAAAAGAATTCTTAACAGCAATTAACCACTAAGAAGAATATATGCAGTGTATTATTTGTTGAAAAATTAAAAAAAAAAAAAAAAAGAATTCTTAGACTGAAAGTCAAAAGATGGAAAAGAAAACTCCATGCAATAGTAACTTGGAAAAAAGCAGGAGCCCAAAGCTCATACAAGGGAGGGAATTACAAAGATGAGAGTAGATCAGGATTGGTTCAACATATTTAAGTCAATAATTTTATTACTGAGCTCAGGCCACCAGTCATTTCTCACACAGGAGAAGACTGATTGGCTTCTAGCCCGGGAAGGAAGGAACTTTTTTTTTTTTTTTTTTTGCGGAACTGGGGATTGAACTCAGGCCCTTGCACTTGCCAGGCAAGTTCTTATTCTACTGAGCTAACTCCCCAACCCTTAAGTCAATAATTTTAATACATGATATTAACAGCCAAAGAAAAATCATGTGAACCTTTCAATAGACACAGAATAAGTAGACAGATTTCCCCACCTGTTCATGTTTTTTTTTTTTTAAACCTTACAGAAAATTAGAATAGATGGTCTTTATCTCAATCTGATAAAAGCCATCTATGACAAGCTAACAGTATACTGAGTGGTCAAAAACTGAAAGCTTGCATTCTAAAATGAAGAACAAGACAAGGATGTCCACTGTCACCTTTCCTGTTCAATATAGTTCTGGAAACATTAGCCAGAGCAATTAGACAAGAGAAAGTATAAAAGGAATAAGAATAGGAAAGGAAGCAGCTAGATTATACTCAAAACCCCACCACAAGAGTGCCAGTAAGCTAGCTCAGCAGACTAAGTGCCTGCCTAAGCAAGCACAGGGACTGGAGTTCGATCCCTGGCACCACATGCTGCACCGGTCTCACCCCCAGGTGTGCTGAGCCAGCCACCAAGATGGGGCATGGTGGCACTCGGCTGGAAACCCAGCTCTGGGGAGGCTGAGAAACAAGAGGATCACTGTGAGTCCAAGCTGCATAGTGAGACCCTGTATGAAATACATAAAAAAAAGACTTCTAGATTTAATAACCAAATTCAGTTGAATGCCTGAATACAAAATCAGCACTCAAAAATCAATAATCTTCCTGTACAAAAATAAACTCATTGAGAGAAAGCTTAGGAATCAATCTAACAAAGGAAGTAAAAGATCTTTACATTGAAAGCTACACGATTCACTAAAGAAAGGAGATCAAAGAGGATATCAAAAAATGAAAAGATATCCTTTGCTCTTAGGAAGAATGAACATAGTGAGAAGGCCATACTCCCAAAATTGTTGTACATATTTAATGCAATCCCA